TTGATTATATTGGATGTATTGTATGGTTTACAGAGTATATCTACCTCGAGATCAGTATGAGCTAAACCCTACAGTGATGAGGTGATGAATCCGTCTCCCCTAATGACTACAACCCTCAGTTTATATAGACATCGATAGGGTTAGGGTTACAGGAGATAGATTACAATAAGGGATAAAAAATCATGTCTATCCTTAACTTGGAGGACACAATACAACTTCATAGATCTTCCATCGCTATGCAGCTTCACCAGTCCGGCCCATATTCAATGGGCCGGCGCCCCGAGAACCCCTTAGTCCATGACTCCCTCACAGGTCAAATTCTTATTCTTAATTTGATGGGTCACAATCTTGAGATCCTCCTTTGGTAGAACTTTCTAGCAATTTATCCCATGGATAATATTATTGAAGGTTTTATTGTTTCTTTGATGTTTTAGCACCCTGTAACTGTAACCATGGGGAACATCATATACACCATCAGATTTTTGTCATTGTATGCAAAGCAACCTTCCATGAGTAGAAATTATGTAGAGATAGAATCAACAAGCGATGATAGCTCAAAATGATTGGTCAAAACGTATATCACTAGTGGAAAATGGGCAGCCACAACTTTTGTTCATGGTGCCTCATTTGCAATCAACGCCACCACTATATTTTCCAAATAGTGGTGGCGTTGGCATATTTAGCATGACATTACTAAGACCATAGTGGTGGCATTGGAAAATAGTTAAACGCCACTTGTAGGTGGGACCCACAATTAGTACAAGGCGTAATATAGTGGTGACGTGTCATAACATGGAACGCCAACACTATTATGTTTAGTTGTGGCTTGTTATGTTATGGTTGCCAGGTCAGCACTATATGACATGGGGTCTATTTTTGGAATTACTTTTTTTTTATTATATTGTAGTTATTTTTATTAAATTTAGAATATTTTAATTAGAAATGTGACCATTTTTATACTATATTGTAGTTTTTTTTTATTAAATTTAGAATATTTTAATTGGGAATGGTGATCATTTTTATATTATATTTTGAGTCTTTTATTTTTTTAGTAAAGTAGAAATATTGTATTACTTTTATTGAAGTGATAAATGTAATTTTTGCGTATTTGTCCAAGCTAAAAATGTGTAGGAGGCAGTGGGTCAAAACCAAGGTGGCAAAGGCCCCCTCGCCCTACCTCGCTCGCTCTCTCTCGCTGCCCGCGCTCCTTCTCTCTCTCTCTCTCTCTCTC